CCACACTTTGACTAGAGCGAACAACGATTCCTCTTGCTTTGCTGATAGCTGATCTTATTTTGCTGAAAAGCCGCAGCAGTCATTGAAAATGTCGCTATAAGTCCTGAGCAACCACTGATATGCCAGCCGCGCCCCAGGCCATGCACCGCAGTCTAATCCCTGAATCGTAGAATCCTAAAACTTTAAAAGCCTCAAACCCTGAACCCAAACCGCGAAACCTTCAAGTTTCACGAAAACCCAGCTCGAAACCCGGTCTCCCCAAGATCCAATGCAACTGAGACTACAACTTTGGAGTTGTCCAAAACGGAAACTTCTAGCGACAACCCACAAAACTTCGACAAAACCTTATGTGCGAAAAAAACAGGGGCCCCACAGCGTACCTTTCTGTAACTACATAAGGGTCCAAAGCACGAGTATTCATATTCAACCCTGGTCCCTATACATAATCTCTCATACAAAAATGACAACGCCAAACCCTAGACCCTAAACCCTAGACGCTAAACCCTAAACCCTAAACCCTTTCCACGCGCCTCGGCTTGAATGTCCTCTAAGAGCCTTCTCTGCCTGCGAATATCCTCGCACAGCAGACGCACGGTTTAGGGTTTGGAGGAATTCCGAGCATACCATTGGAGCGCTTCCAATCTGGGGTCTAGGGCTTAGGATGTTTGAGGTGAGGGTTATGTGAGGTCGGGTCTAGATGGAGGCTTTTGTGGGGGGTTTCTAGGGATCCTTGGCAACAGATTTGGAAGGGGGTCCTTTTGACGAATCAGGTGTCTAAGTCAATCAATTAGAGATTTCGTCTCGCCAATGCAAGCATCCTCCATATCGGCTCTCCGATAGCAGGAATCTATTGTAGGAGTTCAGGCTCCTGGCTAGCACCTAGAGGTGACAAACATGCTCCACCCAATTCCGAAAAAAAAAGCAGCAATTAATTCCCTATGTAAAGCCTCAAACACCGTAAAACCTGGACCCCGCACCCGATCCCGAATAGTCAAGTTGTAGAGGGGCCTACTGAGTATGTTGTGGCCGAAGGAGGGTTTCACTGATTTGGAGGGCTGGATGACCCTTGTAAGTTGCGAGGCTCTGAGTTCATGCCCCACTCTTATTTGTAGAGGACCATTAAACCCTTAAGCCCTGAACACTAAGTTCTAAACCCTGAACCCTAAACCCTGCACCCTAAACCCTGAACTCTAAACCCTAAACCCCAACCAGGCCCTAAACCCTAAACCCTAAACCCTAAACCTTGATACCTGGAACCTAAGTTGCAAGCTGGGTTTTTCGGCTAAGCCTCAAGGTCCAAGCATTAGAACAGTGTCTACTCTTGAATTCAACAGGACTGTCTATAAGGGGGTGTGGGTACTTTACGGTTTTTTTGCAGGCTCTTTTCCGACTAAACCCTAGACCCTGTAGACCCTAAGCCGACATTCCCACCCGAGCGGAGCCCCTTTGACGGCTGGGAACCCCATGGTTTTCACTTCAGAAACCCTAAACACCTAAACTCCTAAACCCCTAAACCCTGAACCCCTAAACCCCTGACACCCTAAACCCCAAACCCCTAAACCCAAAGCCCCTAAACCCTGAACCCTAAATCCCTAAACCCCTCAACCCCTAAGTATCAGACAGTAGCGAACCGCAACCGACACTGAAAGCAGAAGTCTCGGAGCGATAGAGGAGCCACGCAGTCAGAAAAACACTTACAAGTAGCCAGGCATCAAGCGTCCTGATTTAGGGTTTCGGGTTTAGGGTTAGGGTTTAGAGGTTCAGGGTTTAGGGTTTCATTTCAGCCCTCGCACGTTGTCACCCTTGTCGCGAAGCTGCGAAGGTTGCGTACCACACGAGGGGCCAACCCGGTAACCACAGGCCATGATGGCCGGCCGTGCCTCTTCTGCGGTTGGCATGCTGCTGATGATATAAATCCTGCATTACCCATAAAAAGGGCCATAGTTTGGGGTCCTTCAGCTAATGCAGGATATATATATATATATATATATCATCATCATCATCATCATCATCATCATCAACAACAACAACAACAACAACAACAACAACAGTATGCTGCGCAATGAACTGCACCTTTTCTCGGATTAAACCCTCCGTCCGGCACAGCCACCGCTGGACCGCAGTTTGGTGGTTTAGGGCTTAGGGTTTAGGGTATAGGGTTTAGGGTTTCGGATGTAGGGAGTGTATGGGGCTTGGGACAAGAATCCCCTTGTTTGGTAAGTCGTGTAAACCACTCTGGATTCTGAAACGCTGAGTAGCCATGAAAGTCGGGCGGAGGGTGTGGAGAGTCAGGATCAGATTTCGGGCTTCAGTTTGGGATTCATGGTTTAGGTTTTAGAGCTTATCGGGGCTCCCTCTCTCTCTCTCTCTCGCTTCCTCTCTCTCTGCCCAACTAGAACCCTAAACCCTAAACCTCCCTGATCCCTTAAACCAGCAACCGAATTGCCCGGGGTCCTCTTCCTGGAGCTTCGTGCTCTTCTCAAGGTCCTCTGGCCCCCATGTTCGCAGAAGGCCGAAGGGTTTGGGGGTTTAGGGTTTAGGGCCTAAGCTTCGCTTAGATTGTTGGAGGGCCTCTTTCCACAATGACTTAGATTTAGGGATTTTAGGGATTAGGGCTTTCAGGGTTTAGGATTGAGAAATTAGGGTATTCGGGTTTTGGGATTAAGGAATGAGGGATTAGGGTTTAGGAATTCGGGTTTTGGGGTTTAGGATTGAGGGATTAGTTCTTAGGATTTGGGGCTTTCGACTAAGTACCGGGCTCCCGGTTGACGGCTCGCAACTAAAGTTGGCATGTCGGGAGACAGGTTGACGAGAGCTTTAGGGCTTTTAGGGCTTAGGGTGTAGGGTCTAGGGTTTAGGATTTAGGGCTTTAGGGATTTAGGGCTTTAGAGCTTAGGGCTAGTTTAGGGTCTAGGTGTTTGGTTTCTGCGGTACATCTTTTCGGATGCAGCTCGGGAGGTTTAGTGCAAGCTCCGAGCGTTGGGTTCGGCTATGTAGGGTTTCGGGGTTTAGGGTTTTAGGGCTGTGGGTGTAGGGGTTTAGGGTTTAGGGTTTCAGGGTTTTGGGTTTGGGGATTTCGGGTTTTGGGTTTAGGGATATCGGGCCGGTAGCCTTAAAGCTCGCGATGTCATTCGCTTCAGAGGGCCTAGAGTTTGGGGTTCAGGGGTGTAGGTTTTCCCTTTTTCGGGTTTAGGGTTCAGGGTTTGGGGATGTAGTGCTTGGGGCCTAGGGGTTGGAGGTTTACAGTTTACGGCCTTCGGGTTTCGAGGTTTAGGGGTTTAGGGTTTAGGGGTTTAGGGATTTAGGGTTTGGGGTTTAGGGTAGGATTTAGGGTTTCGAGGTTTAGGGGTTTAGGGTTAACGGTCTAGCATCTTGAAGACGCAAGACGTCTGCATACGCATGCTTTGATGGTCTTGACCTTGACCACTTCAGTCCGCTTCAGTCCACCGAGTCACTGAATGGTCATTCGCGGGTAGATCTCGTGTGCGGATTCTGTCAGTGAATCATCGCACTCCCACAGCAGCAGCGCGAGCTCTAAAGCGGCAAGGCCATCCGGAGTGGCCCGCCCTAGTCGAATACTGTAGGGGCCTTAGTCATTAGAACAAGGTTTTGGGAGAAAATTATACTACAGTTATAACAAGAATAGTACAGGTCATTATCTATAAGGAGGTATCATCCGCCGTGCGAGCCGCACCCCAGAATTGTTCTCATGACCTTCAGGCGGAGCAAGATGACGCCCGCAACCTCCGTCGCGGTCATCGTGTAAGCAGACACGAACCCGACGGCGCAGCCAGTCAACAGCTCGGGCCGTATGTCTTGGAAGTGGGTACTTCTCCAAATTCGGACCCTTTCTAGGTCTTCGATATAAAAACGGCACTCTGATAAGTTGGATCTTAAAAGGGACCTTAATTTTTTACAGAACTACCCAAAGCCAAATGTTCTTGTCACCTACCCTGCTAGCCAGTGCACGCATTTTGCCTTGCAATTAGTATACTACCTCAGGGGATTACAACGAGAGCAACATCAAACCCTAAAGCCCTACATTCAGGAAACCTCAGCCGACAAACGACGCCAAAACACTAAGCCCCAGATGCTAAAATCTTGTCAAACTGAACCACCCAAAAATCGCTAAGATTGGGTCTTTGTGGTATGCCATAGTTTACAAGTTCAAGCCGTCAAACCCTGGCCCTAAACCCGCAGAACCAATACTATCACAAACCCTGGCCCTAAACCCCAAAACCAACACTACGTTGGATGATATGAATCCTGCAGTACCCATAATGAGGAATATGCTAATCTAGTTTGAAATAGTTTACGGTCCTTGACATCAACCGTATCACCAACCCTGAACCGAAAGCGGAAAACCCAAGGCCCAACCCCACACTCTGAACCCTTCAGGGCCATATCCAGTGTAGAGCCTTCTTGGTGACTTCCAGCGGAGGCAATGTTTCAGCGACGCTGTCTTTGTCTGGGCGTGGCATGACATGAGCAACTTGGCGACCATTAAACATCGTTAGGCCACTAGGTCTACCCATAGGCCCCATACTTGTTCCTTTTTGGGATTACCTTACAGGATTTTTTTATATGAGCCCCCAAGAGGAACTACTTTAGGGCCTATGGGCAAAGTGCAGGGAGCCTCAAACGGTCCGAGATTTCAGCATCGCAGTTCATGGCATGCAGGTTCGCAGTGCGGAATTTCGGGAGCTCGCAGCAGTAAGCCCGCACGTGCCGTGCCTAAAGATGACGCTTGTCTAACTGAGTCTAACATAGGGGTGGTTGTCAAAATTATGGTCCCTTTTTGGGTCCCTAATATAATACGGCACCTAATATTTAGGGTACCCAAAAAGGGACCCTAATTTTGACAGCCACCCAATAAGGATCTCGACGATTAGAACATCGTTTTCGAACATGCCTTGTAAGTGTGCAACCTGAAACTCAGACCCTTACTATGCAGCCATGATCGGTTACACTTGCACCTCATAATCTCCAGTATCCCTTTTTTACTCACCCTTCCAAATCCCCATATCGACGCCGCAATTCCCTGCAAGTACCTGAGCAAACAAAAGCACTCTAAGGATTGCACGAGAAAGCGTCTGTCGGTATCTTCTTTTCATCCTCTCCAGCCTTGGCCGATGTGGAAATTTCAAAACTAAAGTACACTAACTAATATACACCATCAATGACAAGATAGTGATAGTTGTACGGACCCCTCACCCCTAAACCCTGAACCCTTATCCGTAAATCCTAAACCCGAACCCCTAAACCCCTAAACGCCAAAATCCTGAACCCTAAAACTCTGACTTGTAGCGGCACTTCACTGCACGGGTTATCCAGGAATCACTAAACCCTGAAAACCCCGCAAAACTCCTAGACTACGGGGTTCCGGGTGTAGGGCTAGTTTATGGGGTGGAGGGTTTAGGGCTAGGGTTCAGGGGTTTAGGGTTTAGGGTCTTCGGGTTTTGGGGTGTAGGGTGTAGGGTGTGGGTATGCAACACAGGGTTGCGTCCACCGACATTTCCCTACTCCCTATTAACCCTAACCCCAAACACAAAGAATCTAAACCAGAACCCCCTCGTAAATTGGCACAGCAACGCACATACATGCTTGGTGTTTTTCCTCCCTCAGGTACAGGAGCCTGTGTCAAAACACTGCACCATTCCGACACGCATATCTCTTGACTGATCGACATATCGCGACTATGCTTCTACAAAACGCCTGTGACACTGTGTGTGTGTACGACGGTGCTTGAAAGTATCTACGTTCGGCATACATATTACAGCCTACTTATAATGTGGGTTTCGACATAAATGCAGCGAAGCCCGGAACCCTAAACCTCTAAACCCTAAAACATAAAAGGGTTTAGGGCTTTAGGGCTTTACCCCAAAAGCTTAAAAGGGTTTAGGGTTTTAAGGGGTATGCCGGGAGCCACACTGTTTCTGCAGGGTGGTCACCTCTCAAAGTCGCGCAGGAATTTCGTCTCTGGGTTCCGGCAGGCAAGGATTCAAGGTTCTATTTGGGTTTAGGGTTTTTTTTGATTTAGGGCTTTGGGTAGAGTTTTAGATGAGGGTCCGTTTAAGGGTCCGTTTTACAAGGGTGCCGTACTATTTTGGGGACCTAAAAATGGACCCTACTTTAGAGAACTACCCACTTAAGGTCCCATAAGTGTCCCAGGGGATCCGGGCTTGGGGGTGTAGGGGCTGGGTAGGATGAAGGGTTCAGGGTTGACGTCTTAGGGCTTAGGGGTTTGTGGGCTTAGTTTCTTGCCTTTGGCCCAAAAGGCCTATTATTTAAGGAACTAGATGTAGAAACCATCGTAAGGAGCCCTAAAAATAAGTAGGTCTTTTCAGCTACAGGTCGGGATTAGGCTTTAGGGGTTCAGGTAGCGGCGTTGAGCGGAGGCAGTCTTTGCAAGCCGCGTCACGCTGTCGCTAGTGAAGGCTCGAAGAAAGGCGCCGGGTTTGGCACTTGAACTAGGGGGCTACACAATCAGAATAGGGATTTTCGGGGATATCATACTGATAGGTACATATAGCAAGGAACGGAAATAATGCTTGCTATTCTTGATGCTTCGATATTGCTTCTTCGAGTTCATTTCCACGGGAGCCTGCAATCTCCGAAGCGGCAACCACAGATCCAAACCCTGCAGTTCTTAAGCTGCGTCGCCAAAACCCAGACCGTTTAAACGTTTCAGGAGAAATACGGAGTAACATGGAGGCCTTACTAATTAGAATAGGGTTTTGGGGTATATTATTCTACATATCTATATCAAGGAAACCCCAAAACCCTTTTCTCATTATTAAAGCCCCCCCACATTAAAGCAGGGCCAAGTCCGGGTCTGACAGTGCGCTTGGGAAGCCTTGCGTTAACATTCGAAGGGTCGCCTCCACCGAGAAGCTTGGATTGCTCAGATACCCAAAACCTTAACTTTAAAAAGAACGCGCCGAAACCCTGAACCCCGAAGAACTCAAAAACCTTAAGCTCCTGCTTCGTCTTAACTTACACTGTAATGTTTAGGATTTTGGGGTTCAGGGTTCGGCGGTTGAGGGCTTTAGGGTTTCAGGGTTACGGATTTAAGCTTTAGCCTGCAGGGTCAAGGGTTTAGGGCAACCCACAGGACATGTGCTGTGCCTCCTGCTGCGCATGCCGGTTGTGAGCCTGCAGAGACTACACTGCATGCTAGATTCGGCCGGGGTGTAGGCTCTACAGGGTATGTAATGTAGGTGCCTTAATAATTAGCATCGGGTTTCGGGGGGTTCCCTTTCATTAACATAGTAGAATATACCCCAAACCCTACTCTAATTTTTAGCCTCTATATTACATGGAGAAAAACCCAAGCGCCGGACCACATGCGAGCGTTTGGGGAGGCTGTTCGACACTCTAACGCCTCTAGTTTAGGGTTTAGGGTTAAGGATGTAGGGTTTAGGGTTGGGGCCGCTATGTCGTAGTATAAGTTATAACAAGGAAACCGACTGACTGATATTCGTAATGAATTACTATTCAGGTGTTGATCTTCACAGGAAGTCTTTCTGGGCTCTTTGCTGGTGGCTCCTCCTGATAATCCAGTACTCAACCTAAAATCGAATTCCAGGAGCAGGTTTAGGTGCTTTCTGTCTTTCACCGCGTTTGCCTTAGACTTCGGCACACAACACGGATTCTCACACAGCACTGGTCTCCGATTGATCACGGTTGTCATAAAATAATGCGCTTCAGAACGAAGACGAGCCTACTCCAGTAGCACTACACCCCCGTTTCTCTGCCCTAAAATCCCACCCCGTACTCCTGCTTCTAATTCGTTATCCTAGCATCCAAGCCCCGGGCATTAAGCTCTTCCAGCTCTTTGTCGATCTTTGCGCGCTTCAGGGCCTTGACCAAAGCTAGGCTTCGGCGTGGGCGTGGTGAGGGTTTAGGGCTCAGGGTTTAGATGGTTTTACGGCGGCTACGGCCTAAACCCTAAACCCTGAACCCTAAACCCTAAACCTAAACCGTAGCGGCTAAGGGTTTATTTATGGATTTCAGTTACGGAAGGAATTCATAACGACCTTTGCCCTGGCATAGAGTTCGTGCCTTCATGCTCTGAGGTGTTTGTTCGTTACACCGCACCGCCGTGACAATGTTCGTCACATGGTTAGATATGATAGATGCCGACAGAGTACAGGAGCAACTCCCAAATCGAAATAACACTCGTGCCAACGAGGAGTCTATGGGGGTTTCGTGCTGCTTTACAGGCTTTTTACTGTGGTGTTGTACGGGCTGGATGCGCTTTTCTACAAGCTTCTGGAGCTTTGGGGTTTCCTTCAAAGTCTCGGTTCAATTACCTTGTTCTGTTGCTTCAGGTTCCTTTTAGGATTCTGGTTCTCTCTGATTGGGGAGGGCCTCCGTTCAGTCTCCATTGTGGGTTCTTACTTGGCGAACCCACTTTATGGCTCCGATCCTCTAATCAGAACATCAGGTTGCCGAAAGGAATCGCAATATCAGGTAGCCAAAAGGGGAGAGGCTTTCAGCTTCGTCAATTTCCGTTAGCCTAAAGTGCCTATGAGTCAGGGCCAACCCATCCCAAACGCTCAATCCGAACCACCAGCTCCCGGCACCCTGCCGAGGGCCCTTTAATAGAGACCTTATGGTCCTTAATGGTGGGCACTTGGGGTTGGTAGAGGGTAGTTGGGGGGTCTAGGTCCCTGCAGCCCTTCAGGCACAAACCCTGCACCCTTGCGCCCTAAAACTCCTGAGCCCCGATGGAGCCTTATAGGATGTACCATTACTGTAGAGCCCCCAAATGGGTGGTTCTCTAAATTAGGAGACGTGTTTTGAATATAGTTCGGCCGCCCTTATGAAAAGGACCCTAAAAGGGACCCCAGTTTAGACAACTACCCATTTAGAGCCCTGAGCAAGAAATCAGGCCAGCGGCTAATTCCTGGTGCACGGCACTTTCCTTGTCCAGCTTCTTCTTCGTGTCCTGGCGTTAGACCAGCTCTTGGGCTTAGAGTTTAGGGGTTTAGAGGTTCAGGGTTTAGGGGCGTCGGGGTTAGGGTTTAAAAACTAGGTTATAGGATTTAGGTCTTGGGGCTTGGTCGAGGATTTATGCGCTAGGCATCGACAAAGTGTAACCTGGCCTTGAAGTACTGGGTGCAGGTGTTAGGGCCTAGAGTTAAATGTTGTAGTTCTCTAAATTGTGGCCCCCTAGGGTCCTTTTTATATGGGGTGCCGTACTGTTTTGGGGACCTAACTGAACTACCTGATTCTCTGTTTTAGGGTTCAAGATGGACAGCACCGCACGGAGACAGGTCCACTCTCAACCATTATGAGGATCAGGAGTCAGTTAGTTCATTGCCACGGGTTTGTTAGGGTTCAGGACTTTTGTGTTCCTTTGCTCCTTCTGAGCAGATGTCATAATGCCGATACAATTTTATACAACTGAAGCCGAAGCTGAACTTAAACCCTAAACCTGAACTCTACTCCTTAAACACCCCCAAACCTACAGCTCTGCTTGGTTGGCCGGCGCAAAATTGCCTCATGCTCAGCAAAACTGGCAACTTAAGCCTGAAACCCTAACCCCTAAACCGGAAACCCTACAGCCCCCAAACCTGAAACAAAAACCCAGAGAATTTCGAACGTAGGCGCCCGTGACGAAGAATACCAGACACCCCCTGCATTAGAGGAGCCAAAGCACTGCCTGTATCCCGAAACCCTACAGAATGGTAGGTCATGACCCCTTTCCATAAGGGATCTATGATAGCGTTCTAGTAGGGGTTTTATAATTAGAATAGGGTTTGGGGCTCTTTTATACAATAAGTATAATAACGAGCCCTCACAATAGTGTTGGAAATTATTCTGACCCCGTAATAGAAGGGTCTGACCCCTGAGACAGGAGGTTCTTGGATCCCCAGGTGGAACCCTTGAACCCTAGAAGCCCGAAGTAAGAACCCAAACCATCAACCAAGACCCTAAACCCTAAACCCTAAACCCTATACCCTAAACCCTAAACCCCTAAACCCTAAACCCTAAACCCTAAACCATAAACCCTAGACCAAGAGGCTTGGAAGTTTAGGGGCCTCGCACGACTGGTCCGTGATCTTCGAGCTCTCAGTCATCAGCTGAAGGCGCATTTGCTTCTTGGCCCTGTGGCTGCTTTGAAGGAGCGCTGATGGGGTTTAGGTATAGGTCATCGGCTCGTTAGCTTTAGAAGGGCTTTATCATATGGTTGGGGCATGAGAGGTTGGAAAAACCTACAGATCCCCACAAGTCTTAAAGGGATTGCCTACCGACTTCCCTGATGCAGGCCTAAGAAATAGAACCTCCAGAAGAAGTGTCCTCCTACCGATCATTTGTTACCATCGTACAGGCTCTGTGGTTGCCTTTTGGGGCTCTGTTTAAAGTGAGCATGTTTAATCCTTATTGGGTTCCATTATAACAAAAATGAAAACTGTAGCCAACAAGGACCCAGCTCCCAAACCGAAGTTCCACACACCGTTCGAGATTCACACGCCTGGTTATCATCCTCAACCCCGAAACTCCTGACGACCCCGCAGCTCTATTAGCCCTACCCTAAACCTTAAACCCCAAACCCTAAACCCTAAATCCCAAGCTCCAAACCTATAAAGTCTATGAGCCCTCAAAGAGCCTGCACCATTCTCCCGGGCCTGGACTCATCCAGCTCCTTTGCTTCGCGGTTGATCTCCCGCGCTTGCTCATTAGCTCCCTGCCGGTTTAGGGTTTGCGGTTTAGGGTTTGGGGTTTAGGGTTTTGGGTTTGGGGTTTAGGGTTTAGTGGTTTTGAGTCGAACGTCTACACCTTAGGGTTTTAGAGGGGCTCTACCGGGTTGCTATGCAATGTTGCACTTTGGGTTTAGGGTTGTGCAGGGCTTAAGGGGGAACTATGGTCTTGCCTGAGGGATCTTCGGCCATGTTGCTGTGGTCGTGGCATCAATCAACAGCAGGAAAGGCGGTAGGAGCAACAACAACGAGAACTAGGGATACTTCTCTTCCTACCACTCTCGCTCCTAGGGTACTCCTACTCCTACTCTTCCTAGTCTTATCGTACTCATAGTCCTGCGGCTCCAGTCCTCCTGCCACTGCCGCAGGTGCTGCTGCTGCTGCTGCTATCACTACCAGTACTACCACCACTTGCAGCTGCACGTTTACGCCTACGACCACGAATACGACTACAACGACGACCACCAATACTGCGACTGCATTCTGCTTTAGGAGCGAAGGCCCTGTTCGCGGAACTTGTTGAGCATGCTGTTCTGCCCCATCATACTTGACGTCAACAGCTTCGAAAGAAGATCCTGCCTGTGAGAGCCATACCGGCCCTTGAGCCCTCACGATACATAGATCATCAAGGCCTAGTATGACGTTGAGGGTTGAGGATTAAAGGCCAAGTGGAAGAGAATCTGTTGCAGGTGCTGCAGAAACAAATGTCCATTAGACCCTGGGCACCTTGCCGGTGCCAGCCTCTCCCATATCGCTGAAGTCGAACGTAGGTAAAATGGTTTCTCTGCGACTCCAGGGCACGCTGCAACTGTGAAAGCGAATGCGAAATGTGCACTCTGCGGCTGATGTTGTACTCACCCTGGTAATGCGCTCCAGTGCCACTCGCACCACCGGAAGATCCACTAGAAAGCGCACTGCGTCAAGATCATGTTCTTGAGGTTGGGGGTTTGGGGTTGGCCCCTGGATCTCCCAGCATTTCAGAGTTTACAGCGCCTATGAACAGGGCTGGCACGACGGCTCGATGCCCAATCCGAGAAGGTGGCTACTGTATCCGAACCCTGTTATAAGCTATCATTTTCTACAATTGCAGTCCAATACGACCCCGCAACGCACCTACTAAGGTAGCATAATATACCATGTAAGCCCTCTTAATGACCAGCAGTATTCCTTCGGGATCTCTATGGCCAATCATCTACCCCAAAGCCGAACCCAGTTCTAGTTTTCAACGCCCGCGTGCTCTAAAGCCTGCACAAACCCTAAACCCTACGGTTCAAGTTTAGGGTTTAGGGTTGAGGGTTTGGGTTTAGGGTTTAGGCCCCCTCGGTATTGACCCCAGGCCTCAATGGCGGCCACCTTCTCCTTCTGCGCCTGCACTCTGTGCGCAAGTAGCTAAAACTAAGCCCTAGACCCTAGTACCCTAAACTCCTAAACCCCTGAACCCTAGACCCTAAACCCTAGGGCCCTGAACCCCTAAACCCCTGAACTCTAGACCCTAAACCCTAAACCCTAGTACCCGTTTTTCGGACCGAGCCCTGGACAGAAGGAGTGGCGGCATTATGTGAGAGTTTCCGAAAATTAAGGGGTACCTTACTTTGGGGCCCTTATAAAATAAGAATCCTACTCTTTAGGTACCTTATTTTGGGGCCCTTATAATAAGAATCCTACTCTTCAGGGTTCCAGATGAGGGTCCCATATTGTCGGAAACCCCCATGCTTCACACACACTAAAGTCCCATGTTCCACACACACACACACACACACACACTAAAGTTACTAAAGTCACGATCCCGAGGTATGCGAGCACCAGGATTGAGAAGGCTAGGGTAAACCCTAAACCCTGAACCCCTAACCCCTAAACCCTAAACCCGATGTTAAGGGTTAAGAGCTTAGCGCTGAGGCCTTATAAAGCTATAGGCTATGCGCCTATGGGGTTGGAAACCCTAAGGGTCCACGCGCCCATTCTTTAAGGACTTTGGGGTCGCTTCGGGTGGCTAAAACCATAAATAAGGTCTACTTGGACCCTTAGGCTATGGGGCCTAAGATACGGTTTAGGGTTTATAGGGTTTAGGGTTTAGGGGTTAGGGTGGGGCCTATAGGGTTTGAAAGATTCCTGAATGGCACACTGTGGGTAAAGCCCTCAGGGCTTGCGACCTCCTGCAGAGCACGGACGGCGTTCTCGAACTTTTCCGCCTGGGATCTTCGCTGACAAAAGGGGCCATAGGAGTCAGAGTTACGGTTTTAGGTTTAGGATTGAAGGGTCAGGGTTTAGGTCTAGGGTTATAAGGGTCATCTCGACATCAACAAGAATCGAGCAAAACTGCATCCCTATCCCCAAACCGTGGATCCCCAAAAAACCTATCCAGTAACCTTGCAGGCAGAAAACCGTCTTCCAAGAACCAGACCAGAGTTCAAAAACCCGAGTCCTAAAAACCGTACACAGAAATCCGAAGCGCGAAGAACCAAACCCAGACATCCGAAGTGGCTTTTGCACCACAAAATCCGTTTTCGCGGCCCCAGAGAACTGTATCTGAAAAACCATACCCTGAAAACCGGCACCGGAAAAACCGTATCCGACAAACCGCATCCCGAACACCGGCGCCGGAAAAACCGTATCCGAGAAACCGTACGGTCTCCTGCCCATGGATTCTTGGACCCTAAACCCTAAACCCTAAACCCTAAACCATGGTTTTTCGGATCCACTGCGAATACGGTCTTATGCAGACTCTCGAGTTCCATATTGGATGTTGATATGCACCTTGTAAGGTTAGGGCTTTTTTGGGGGGTTCAGGGTTTAGGGTTTTGGGTTTAGGGTTTAGGGTTTAGGGTTTAAGGTTAGGGTTTAGGGGTCAGGGTTTATGATTTGGCGGTCAGGGCTTTAAGATTCGAGCTTGAAGGCTGGGCTTGTTTCCGATGCCACAGACCCTAATTCCTAAACCCGAAACCCCCAGCCCCCCTGCCCAATCATGTCGGGGCCAAAATAGTTCGAATAGGGCTTTGGGGTATACTCATCAGGAATCCCAAAATAGTAGAGGTAAGTGTTCAGGCCCCTATATCGAATCTCAGCCTCTAAAAGCATAGATCCCAAGGCATAGGGTAGGGATGTATATATATATATATATACACACACATGTATAACAGAAGTTTAGACAAACAGAGAAATACACAACATGGGACAATATCGCATGACATGGCATAGCATACAGTACAGAGAGAGAGAGAGGGAGAACAAAAAGGGAGAGTTTAGTTTAGGCTTCAGGGAGCCATAAACCCTAAACCTCAAACCGTGCTTGGGGTTCGTTTCCCTGTACCCGTGACGGCCGCAGACGACATCTTTTTACGGCAGCAATCTGTGAGGTAAAGCCGACGGAAGTGCCTGTATCGTACGCCAAGAGGGCAGATGAGGCATTGATTCTGTTCACCGATGTAGAGTCCCCAAACCCTCTAATGTAGGAGCCTTAATAATTAGAATAGGGTTTTGGGGGTTCCTTATTATAATTAAGGTATAATATACCCCAAAACCTTAAATTACCCTTTCTCCCAAACCTCAAATCCCAAGACACTTCACCCGGAGAGACCAAAAGCCGGCACCCTGCACCCTAACCTCTAAACTCAACTCTAGACCGTTAACCAACAAACTCTACACAACTGCTGCAGCTATCGGGCTCCGATAGCTCCGTGGTTTGGGGTTACAGGGTTGAGGGTTTAGGATTTAGGGCTTAGGGTTTGTTTCTTTTCCAGTTTCAGGGTTGTGACGGCAGAGGGGTTTGCTATACCTTTACGGTAGATAGCTTGCATTACAAACCAGTTGCAGTGAGGTGTGCAAATCCTTGGAAACAAACTGCACAAAACTTCCCTAAACCCTAAACCCTAAACCTGAAACCGAAAGCTTGTATGTGAGAACCCCCTAAACTCCAATAACCCCTAAACCCAGAAGCCCGCGCCCCAAACCCTAAACCCACAGGACATCTAACAACTTGCTCTAAGCCCCACGACCGCGACTGAACAGGATGCATTGCGATTGCATTTGGTGGGTTTAGGGTTTGGGATTGCGGGTTTCGGGTTTAGGGGGCCGCTTGTTTGGGGCTCTTTGTCGGGATCTTGCTATTCAGGGACAGTGGGCATCTGAGCTTCTGAGACTTAAGGTTTAGGGTTTAGGGTTTAGGGTTTAGGGTTTAGGGGTTTTGCTTGAAACACGCTATCCTAGGGAATAGCAGTGGTACTTCCCCAGTAAGCCACAGAAATGAAAGGTTAATCAAATGTTGAGATTATTACTACACTATAAGCGTCTACCCATAGGCCCCTTAGTAGTTCCTCTTAGGATTATCTACTAGGATCCTAAATAGAGGCCACAAAAATGAACTACTATGAGGCCTATGGGTATAAACTATAGGAGACATTAAGAAACTCTAAGACACAAAAAGAACTACTATTATGAGGCTTATGGCTTATGGGTATAAACTCTAAGAAACATTAAGAAACTCCAAGAAGCGGAAAAAGCTTAAAAGCAAGGCATTGGAGAACTTAGAACTACTCAGGCTTCTCCATTACCCATCTGCCGAAGCTGGCTGTGGGAAGGCACCGTACGCTACGCTTGTCGGAGGCCGGGCGAATGAGCTAAGAGTTTGGGGTTAAGGGTTTAGGGTTTAGGGCTTAAGGGTTTAGGGTTTAGGGGTTTAGGGGTTAGGGTTTACGGTTTTGGGTTAGGGTTATGGTTTAGGGTTTAGGGTTTAGGGCTCAAGCTACGTGCTTTCGCAATCAGACAAATTGTGAATCCATCAGCGCCTGTTGAACACGGTTGCTTACGGGGCAGGTGGTGGCATTGCGGGACTGGGGTCTGCTGTCTTGTGTGGCTTGAAAACTGGGTATGTCGAATGCAGCATATATATATATATATGTGTGTGTATTTATATATATATATATATGTATGTATGTATGTATTTGTTCATTTATTTACATAAATACAGACCCACACACACACACAAAATTATGCATATAGGTTCCCCCTTCATGGATCTACATTCTGAAAGTGAAGGGCAGCATACAATACTTGGCAACAACAAACACTAGACGCAGCATGCATGGTAACCCCCCCCCCCCATCCCCCCAGAATCCACACCTTTAGTCTGCGCATGTATTTTGACATTGCCGTTTTTGGGGGACTGCCTCGCGAAAGATACTCATTTCAGGCACCTGGGAGGTTCTGAAATCTGTTCTCTGTTTTTTGAGACTGCCTCCAGGGAGGAGTTTGAATTGGGTTGGTCTTGGACAACTCCACGTGGGTAGTTCTCTAAATTAGGGTCCCTTTTGGGGTCCTTTTTATAAGGGTGCCGTACTATATTTGGGCCCAAAAAAAAAAGGGACACGCACACTCTCAGTGGCATTCTAGCCCAGCACCCTCCCACGCAAGCAGAGGCGAAGCGGCAGGCTGTACAGAGGACATCGCCCTGTCTGCCGCGCCGCCCTTTAAACGATATGAGACTGTCGACTCCACACAGCCGCAGCTGTGCTACTGTCGATTACACTTTAAGTTGCTCGGCTGAGGGCGTGGAGACTTTAACAGGGGGTAGCAGCTCGGGAGCGAAGATGTGGTCTGTTTCGTACTAACCTGTGGTTAGGGTTTAGGGTTTAGGGGGTAATGTAGCATTAGGATTGCTGCTGATTTCTATGGAACATCATCCTGCCCCTAAGCGCAGGGCTCGCCATGGACGCTAGAAGGTGAGTGCACATCCCTATCTTAAATCAACTGTGCCGTGATGGCAAAAACGACTCAGATCTAAGCCCTGCAATGCCACGTCCTCACCCCACAACCCCAAAACTAACAGGTTATAATCGATCAGGACAATACCCAGGTACAACTGAACCCGACAAGTTCAGACATTGAGTACCAGAGAGGCAATGTTCGGTTAAGGTTTGGTCCAAGCCCTGTGCCCTAAACCCAATAGAATCTAAAGGAACCTCTTGCATTCTTAGAGAAAAGTCTCAGACGTCTCATGCAGACGACCAGACACCTGGGGCTCCACTAGTTGGCTTCGTTAGAACGGTTTTGGGGTCCAGAGCTCCGGGAGGGAATGATGACCACGCAAGTCACAAGTACTGACTGACTACGGCTACGACTACGCCTACGACTACGGCTACGACCACGACTACGACGACGACTACTACTGCTACTGCAGTTTCTACGACGACGTTGACTCCTCCTCCTCCTGCTGCTGCCGCTTGCTGCTGCTGCTGCTACAACTTACAGAACCACTAAGGCTAACACCAACACTAACCACACCAGCTCCATTCACAGAATTGGCTGCGTGTATTCCACAAAACCTCCAAGCACACCTATATCCATCTGGGGGTTTATGCAAATTACCCGAGCATTGATATACACCGAAGCCATAAACTAACGATCTCAACCGCCTGTATCTGCATTGACACTCACAGGTACCGCCCTGAGCCCGAAAATAGCACCTGAACCCGCAACCCTCAATCCTGAACCCTGGATCCTGACCCCAATGTACGGCCGGCAGGATGCGTTTCTCGAAGATGAAATCGCCTGCGCAAGCTGCTTGAGAGTACCCTACCTGAATGTAACCCAAGACCCTAAACCCTAAACCCTAAACCCTAAACCCAAAACCCTAAACCCTAAACCCATGTAACCCAAGACCAGGGTTCATGGACAACTCAAAGGGTTTTACATTGTACGACGATCTGAGCATGTGGAACTGGTTGCTTTTGCCCTACCCTGCCAGTGAGCCAAGTGAAGATGCAATATTGGTGAAAAAGGGGCCTTAATAATTAGACTGGGGCTTTGGGGCCCATTATACTATAATTAGAATAACGAACCCTCAAAATAGTATAGGTACTTTTTTAGGCCCCTATATTGTTTCATTTGTGCTGCAACATCATCAAACAGCTAAGGGCCATGTCTTCTTTAACACTAAACCCTATCAGCTCTCCACTCTAAACCCTAAAAGTCTTAAACGCCAGAACATTACACTCTAAAGCCTTTAAACCCTAAACCACAAAACTCTACACCCCAAACCCTAAAGCCCTAAACCCAAAAATCTCAGCCCTGTGCCTGCACACAAAACTCCACACCCTAAACCCCAAATGCGAACCCCTAAACCCTCAACTTTAGACCCTGAACCCCAAACTCTAAACCCAAAGCCATACATGTTCTCATCGTCCCTAGCGAGAAT